GGCTATTTTTTGGTTGCAGCCGTCATTGTTGTTTGGTGGGTCCGGGCTGGGGATTTGAACCCGCCACCTTAGGTGTATGTGGCTGGCACCTTAGCCGTTTGAGCTATAGGCGCCAAGCCATGTGTGTGATTTGTAATGTACTCTTCTATTAAATTTAGAGACGTATTTGCAGAATGCCCTTGGTTTTGTCTTGATCCATCTTTGTCACTTAGCAGCCTTGTCTCATGTTGTAGGTGTCTGGCTTCTTTCTCTCCAGCAACATAAGACCTGTCTGGGTGGTGGGTGAGACCAGCATATTTTTAGCCTACCTGTTCTCTAAACCTCAAAATACTTGTGATAATGTATGGATGCTATTTTCCATAAATATTTCAATTGAAATACAATAGAACCTTTGTAAGTTGTCACCAAGGGACTGTAACAAACTGGTGAACATATGGAGGTGGTCAACATAAGGACTTGCATTGAGTCCAAGTGCCACATGTCTGGCTTATGAAAATTAGGTCAACTTCAGAGGTGGTCAGTGTAGAGAGGTGGCCAACTATGGAGGTTCTACTGTATATAAATTCACTTATTTCTTACATAATTCTTCCTAGAAATCTTAACAAGTCATGTGAGGCCAATATGTTTATGTAATGTTCTAATACTATCCTAAGTAGGAACAAAATCAGCATCACCATTGCAAGTAAGCCTTTCTTGCTCAGGTAACATGCTCTTGGTGCTAATTTGTACACAGGACTATAGAGTAGAAGGAAACATGTAAAAGTTAAATCTGCATTATAATACAGTGGCATGGAACAATGCAAATCACTTCTTTGATGGTGCCAGCCAAACTTCTCTTCCAAAAACCCTATTTGAAACTTTCTAGGGTGAAAACCCAGGTACCACATGACACAGCAGCAATCACTAAACCCTCAGTGTCACTGTATGTGGAGGTGACATGTCCCAGCCTCAGATGATGTATCTACATAGGTAAAAGGTGGAAGTATAATTTTGGCTCCTGGCTGGGTGCTAGAGCACCAAAAGTCACTTTTGTCATCTCTTCCTACATCCACATCATGCCTTGTGGGTCCATGTGGATGTGAATATAGGAAGAGATGACAACAGTGACTGAGGTGTTCCAGTACCCAGCCCATTCCTCTTCCTTCCCCCTTGAAGGACAAATAACAGAGATACTTTTGGCTAAAAAGGAGAAACTCTGCATCAACATGACTCTAAATGTGATTTTACAAAGTGTATAAGCATTGTCTTAGGATGGCCAATGTGAGCAAGAGACACTAGAAGCACAGGGTAAGAAAGGGCAACAGGACAAAGCAGAGAGCCTGATATTGTCTTTGAGTATGAAAGTTTCTTCATCTTCACAAGGATGCCAGTGAACACCAAAAAGGTAATACTAGCACAGATCCAATGGTGTTCATGAGCCCGCAAAGTCACCACTTTTTGAGGGGATACACAGTGGCCTGCCTGTCTCTGCTACCTAAGCAATAGTTCAGTGGAGTCATCATAGTTCACTGCAGTCTCAAACTCCTAGACTCAAGTGATCCTCCCACCTCAATTTCCAAAATAGTTGGGAACACAGGCTTGTGCCATTGTGCTGGCCTTGCCTGTCTTTCCTTAAGTGTTTTATGTCTTATACACACCGTATATTGCAGATCGTAGTCAAAGTAACATAAAAAAGTATACACAAAAGTATTTTCAACATTTTTAACTTTATTTATTTATTTATTTATTTATTTTTGAGACCGAGCCTCAAGCTGTCCCCCTGGGTAGAGTGCCATGGCTTCACTGCTCACAGCAACCTCCAACTCCTGGGCTCAAGCAAGTCTCCTGCCTCAGCCTCCCAAGTAGCTGGGACCAC